ATTTTTAAAAAAAAAATAGCATTCTGCAACATACATTCTTGGGTTGAGGTGATTTTAGCCTAGATGGCTATAATGGGGTACACACAACCCATCTGCTGAAGCCAGCCATGGCATTTTCTCATCCAGTTTATGGCCTTCTTGCCACTGTTCCTCTATTATGTTTAAAATAATTTTTCCTTCGCAGGCAGACTTTAAAATGATCTTCAGATAGAATGCATAATATCGTATTCTTCAAAACCAAATCCCTCTCCCCTGAGCTCTATTATAATGCATGTTGGGAGTGAGGAGGAGAGTTAATTAGTGAGGATGTAGAGAGGAAGAGAAACTGTATGTATGTGAGCAGGAGCAGTGGTGGGTCTTCTCTTAAGAGGCAGGAAAAAAAATCCCAACCATGTGTTGCAAAATTGATGCCCTAAATCTTGTCTTTTGTCTGATGGACAAACTGCTCCCCTCAAAGTAGTAGTATAGCTAAGGGTGCCAAGTATGAGTAATGCTGGGTTATTTTGCCAAGGTAGCAATATGTCCACTTTATGGCAGTTAGGGAAGCAGCACTGTGAGATTGGAGTATTTCCAGAAATACATTTTTATTGAGGAAGGCATAACAAAATTGCAATTTAATGGCTGTTTGAAGCTGCCCCAATGTGGAGAATTCACTGAGGAGGAAAGCAAGTGGGGAAAAGGAAACACATACAGATCAGCATGCATTTTTACTTAACGCAGTTATCTGGCTTGATGTGGATTACTAAAATAATGGTTAATGGGTTAATTACCCCTAAACAGAGTTGGGCCTGTTTAGTACTTGGATGGTGAAAACTAGGAAGCATCAGGGCCATAGGTAATACTGGGAAGTTGAAAAGGTAAAACTTCTGTACTACTGCCATGAAAATGCCCATAGCCATGGTCATGGCGTCATCAGGAATTGAGCCGAAGTTGAGGGAAATTTTACCTTTAATTTGTAGGTCAATTTGTCATATGAATACAGCTATCCAGAAATATCTGTTCTCACTTTATGCTGTGTTGAAATGCATGCTGATCTGCATGTGTGAAGGCCTGAGAAATATACTATCTGGACCTGAGGAAAATAATTTCTGTGTGGTGGCTTTGGTCAAGAAGGCATGGTGATTTAAAAGCCTTAGGGCATTTGCAGTCTTATTTTTTTGAGTCTTGTCACTTTTGGAATCTAGGCAGAGTATATTATTGGCTTAAATTTAAAAAGAGATCCTTTAACGAAAGAAAAATATAATGGACCTTGCAGTATCAATAGGTCACTTATGTTTTGAGTTTTATAGAGTGAGGTTATTATTAGTTTAGAAGTGGAAAAGGTATACAGTGGTACCTCGGGTCACGAACTTAATTCGTTCCGCGACTCTGGTCGCGACCCGAA